GCGGCAAAGCACTGCACAAATGACAGCTAATTTAGACGAGGTGTCGACTGTTTCGAGTTTCCGCAAGGAGCAGAAAAAGGTTCACAGCAAGGCATTTTAGGCTAATGGGTGTAGGCTGTAGTTGATCGACCACGGGACAGCTTCAAATGTCATTATTCTGTACCACATAATGATAAATTTACCGTCATGCTCCAATAGACTCTAATATCAACGTATGATACTGCAGTATAAGAGCACGAAATACCCTAAGCCCTAATCCTTTCAAGCTGAGATAGTCTAGGATTCGCAACTCGCAACACTTGGCAATCCTGTTCCTTCAGGATTCCGTAGTCTTATTGGACAAAACATGCCCCCAAAACCCGATTCAACTTACATTGAGCCCAACCCTAGAAGCTGTGTTTGTCGCTCTAGGCTTTGGAACATTATGGGGCCGAAAGAATTAGACTAGGGTTTTGGATTATCTTATAGCAGAACTATACGAAGGAAACCCAGCAAACAGGAAGAGTAATTCTTCAGGTCCTTAAATCCAGGCTTGGGAGGCAAACCTGGGAGGGGTTCGCAGCAAGAATGCATCGCCATCGCCACGCCAGATCTTAGGGTTTAGGGTTAAGGGAACCTGAACAGTTTTGAGGCCTTTCACAGTCTCCAATTCAAAGCCATACTAGCATGTTGACCCAGGCCACAGCGAGTCTGTGCAAGTAAGACTTTATGGGGGGCCTTAATATTTGGAATAGGTTGTGGGCCATTTAGGGTATATTGTACCGTAATTATAGCCTAAAATAGAATTGGTAATTCTTCAGGAGGCCCCTATCGTATGTCACAAAGTAGCGGAACTCACCAGCTGAAGCTTTTTGTAGCATTGTACGGTTTGGGATGTTTGAGGGAAATATAGGAGCCTAAATACCAATTACCAATACTATTCCGGGGTTCCTTATTATTATTATGATTATAGTACAATGTACCCCAAACCAAATTCGAGTTATTAAGGCCCCTATATTAGCCTGATTTTCAAGCAGGGATCGTTTAGGGTCTACTCTATTCCAAGACACCCCAACGCTATTTGCAGTGGCTGATGTGTTCGGCAATCTGCTCAAAATCTCCTTCAGGTCACGGATACACAGTTTAGGGTTTAGGGTGGAAACCCTAAACCCTAAACCCTGGACTTATATATGGGTAGGTTTCTGAATTAGGGTCCTGCTTAGGGTCCTTTTACAAGGGTGCCATTCTATTTTGGGGGATCGAAGAAGGGACCCTAATTAAGAGAATTACTGTACCCATATGCCTCCTTGATTCCAAAACGATCCTCCTCCAATCCCCAATCGCCCCAATCCCTAAACCTTAAACCCTAAAACCCTAAAGCCCTAAAGCCCTAAACCCTAAGCCTATTCACGACTTTTCGGAAAGCTTTGGGGGCCTTCACAGGACCAGCGATGCTGGGCCCTTAGGATGCTGTGATATACTATACGGTATATGCTAGAATATATATATATATATATCATGATGTACTCTTTGGTATACCATGATATACAATAACTTACGATGATAAACAGTGCTTTGCTTTCACATACTGCAGTATACTACACCCTAAACCCTAAGCCCTAAACCCAAAACCGTAAACCGTTTAGTATAGCCAAGACCTGATGACATCGTTTCATCGTTTTCCCTAGGCCGAGCACCACCATCGCAGCTGAGGCCCTGCAACGGGAAGTTGCCAATGAACCCCTTGAGCCCTAAACCCTGAAAGGACTTAGGGTTTAGGGGTTTGGGGTCAAGGACTCCTAACAAGGAAATAAGAAGGAGCTCAAGTAACAACTCAAAAGCCCCAAACCCAGATCTCTCTGGTACCCCCCAGAAGCCTCCCACTGCTGCTCCGGGCTCCGTCTAAGTACCACTACGATGACCACGGGTTGAGGGGGTAAGGATTTAGGGCTTAGGGTGGAAGGCTAGAGTTTAGGGCTTATAAATTATAGGGATAAAGACGACAAGGGTTGGTGGTGCTTTCGCCGGCGCTTTCACCACCTCCAGCGCCAACAACACTCCCCGAAAAAGCCGACTTCCAGAATGATGATGATGTTGATGATAATGATGATTATGATGATGATGATGATGACGATGATCATGGTGATGCCTTTACTGGATATGCCTGCCTAGACTCACCTCTAGCTAGACACCGAAGCCCTGAGTGCACAGTATGTGCTTTGAAGCGACCGTTTACAGCGGAAGCGAGTAGATCAACCGGCAAGCGTTCTTGGCAAGGGGGTCTCCCGGTGGGCACTTTTTGCCTTGTTTTGCTCTTGGGTTCCTGATAAAACCACCCAACAAAAAGGGAGCCCTTTGTGTTGCTAGGTCACTGGGGATCCTGGTATAGCTTTGACCTCTTTGCAAAGGTGGACATCTACGGCCGGCCAATCAACACAGAAGGCCTCGCTTCCCTGGCCGTGACTGTTTGGGGTTCAGGGTCCCAGGATTTAGTTTCCCATCTCTTAGCGAAGGAAGCCGACCGGACAAGTCCCGTTTACAACCACTCAGATACGTTTTGATATAATAGTGTATAATATCGAGTAATATAATATAGTATGTAATGTAATATAGTGAAATGTATAGTTTAATTTAGTACAATATAATACCATGTAATGTAATATAATGTAACATAATGTAATAAAATGTAATGTAATATAATATAATATAATATAATATAATATAATATAATATAACATAATATAATATAATATAATATAATATAATATAATAGAATAGAATAGAATAGAATAAAATAAAATAAAAAATATAATATAATATAATATAATATAACATAATATAATGTAATATAATATAAAATAAAATAAAATAATATAATAAAATAAAATATAATCTAATATAATATAATATAATATAATATAATATAATATAGTGTAGTACAGTACAGCAAGGATAATATAATATGACATAACATAAAAATACAGCATATAATATACTAAAATATAACATAATCCTCTAAGCCAGCATGTTCCGGTTTGTGAAGTCTTCAAAAAACAGCACCGAAGTGGTAGAAGCAGCAGGAGCTCGAGCGTTGCTTGCAGGTCAATACGGATAGGATCACGTCTCATATCGTAATACTCAGACTGCACATGGTGATCATAGGATTGAGCGCAGCAGCTGCATTCATCCTAGCAGCAATGCCATAAAAGGCATAACAGTTGCGGCAGGCATTTATGTTGTCGGGCCTGCCCGTCCAGCCTGAGCCGCAAGTGTGAGTCGCTAACTTCGACATATCTGTTTTGAATGACATCGAGTTGTCCTTCTCTGGCACGTCCGCGTGCTCGTGCTATTTCCGGGTCACGACGCAAAGGGGACCGTCCCATGAACATCGCTTCTGTCGGTGCTCCCGAGCTAAACACAGAGACCGTTGGTTCTGAACCAAAGTAAACTTGCAGCTTCTTGAGGCGTTGATGGAGAGAATGGCCCAGACGTGCACGAGTTTGTGGTCCTCCGGCCTGATTTTGCGATCGTGGACTCGGGAGGCTGGGGCAACGGGGGCAAGTGCCTGAGATGCAGTACACCCGCCTTTGTCAGTCAGCCGTTTTGGCTATGACGACAGGTTAGAAGCTTCTGTAGCGATCGTTCTCTGAGCCATTCGTATCCACGAGGACGATCGCAGCCAACATGACTGCACCCCCCCCAGGGCAACGTTTGAGATGGCTGTTGAATGAGTCTTCATGTTCGATCAGTTGAGGCAGCGTGGTAGTAGGACCAAGAATTATGTTACACAGCCAGCAGTCATCACATCTCGTTTGAACTTGGCATTCTGATTTAAGGCATTCGTGAGTCATCGTTGTCACATTTGCCGCTTATAGCTTTATAGCAATTGCCGGCACAAGTAACTGTAACTGCTGCCATTGTTGTGTCAAGGTGACGGAGATGATGATGCACATCGTCCATGATGGCTGTGTACCAGTGATGATGATGCAGATGATGACAATGACGACGAAGAAGAAGATGACAACGATGCGTACTTTGCAGCTGCAGCTGCTGACCGCGGGCCTTCCGGCTGTGATCTCCCTGATCACGACGCACCTGAGGTACATGTTTACGTGGCGGATGGTGATGCTGGGATTGACAGCGTTGTAGCAGGGGTAGTGGCAGTGGTCGTGATGATTGTCAAAGTCGTCGTAGCAAGTAGCAACAGCAGTAGCAGTACCAGTAGGAGTAGACGAAGTAGGAGGAAATAGTGGTAGTAGTAGTAGTAGTAGTAGTAGTACTCGGGAATAAGCCGGTAGAGGTATGGCGTCGTCTTCGTATTCGTGGTGGCAGCAGTAGCAGCAGCAGCAGCAGCAGCAACAGCAGCAGCAGCAGTTGCAGTTGGTGTGCGTTGCGGCAGTCGCAGTAGCAGCAGAGCATTAGCAGCAGTGGAGCAGCTGTAGCAGTAGCAGGAGCAACAGCCTCAGCAGTTGCACTTGCAGTGTGCAGGTGGTTGTTGTTGTGTTGTTGTTGTTGTTGTTGTTGATCACCATCTACGCAACTCTGAGATGACCATTCGCCACATGGATGGCTACCATGAGCACCGCCGTCATCATCAATAGCAGCATCAGTTATCAGGTTCACCAATACAGCAACGCCCGCATCGTGATAGGCAACTTCAGCATCTTCGCCTTCATCGCATCACTTCTTGCTTGCTTGTTGCATGTTGACGCTCTGTGTAGGATTGGGAGAGGGTCATAGATGGCAGTTGAACGGTGGAATATGTGTAAAACAATCGAGTGGTCCTGACGAACGCTAAGCAGTCGAAATTATGGCCGCCTTTGCGGGGGCAAGCCTCAATCAGGGTATGCCTTGCTAGGCTTTTGCGTAATTATGCAGCAATCACAGCAGGAGACCCATTTGGATTGCTCTTGCCGCCTACCTTTGCGGAGGCAGCGGGTACTCGTGTCGAGTGCTTCAACAGTGTTTGAAGTCTGTGAAACTGCGTGTAGCCCAGTGGTTGCAGTCTGAGGCCTTGCTACATGGATGCTGCGTGCGATCGGCATTGGCAGAGTTGCTGTGCCGGTTTCAGCACGGCAAGCGGGGAAAGAGTGAAGCCGGACAAGAAACAACGCAGCATCGTCCAGAGCCTGCCAGTCGCAGAGGTCTTGGAATTCGTACTTGAGCAGGTCTTCGAACGGGCATGTTTGGACAGACTTGTCCTCGAGTCCTTCTACATTCAGCAACAGATCCAGCAGGAGATCTCCAAGAATGAAACGAAAACTTCAAGCCTCTCACCATCTACAAAGCGGAACATTGGAAAGCTCCTGTCTCGAATGGACTGGTGTCGTTTGATACAGTTCGTCAAGAGGAACTCAGGATGTGACCCGGATTTCCTCAACTTGGTTCAGACACGGATGGCGTGTCTTCGACCAGGAGATTTCAGTGACCTGAACAAACTGGCCTATGCACAGTCCGTGTGGCTCTAGATGCATCCTCAATCACCTTCTGAGCTGTTGTGCCTTGATGCGGCCACGACTGTAATTTTCAATGCATCTGCATGGGCGAACATGCAGGACAAGGCTTGCGACTCACAGCAGTTCGCACCTCCAGTCAATCTGATCCAGCATGGCTGGCCAATGTTAACATTAGTCATTATTATTATTCGTATATTATTATTGATATGAATACTAATATTAATATGAATATAATTATTAATCCAGTATTGCACCAAGCGCCTGCACAGACCTGAGCTGCAGACCCCGGCAGTGTGTTTGCTCTTGGCACGAGACACACTGGCTAGTCCATAGATTGTTCATGTCCACTTCTGCGACGGGTGCAGGCAGAGTCCTTTACGCAGACCCGGTTATGCCGTCTGTGCGAGTCTCACCATTCATTCTCGCCTGAGAATTCCCAGCACAGTTTGAAAGCACATCACAGTGCTCATCGAAGTCTGTATAGTCTAGCTGGAAGCACAGAGAAAGCAAAGTCTGTCTTTTGAACACATGGATGAAAAAATAACAGTAGATTGAGAGACCGTGTGAAGCGCCTGCGCCGCGTGAGTTGATTGGCAAGAGCGGCACTGAAGGGTGTAACGAGATCTCGAAGCCTGAATGATTACCTATTTACTATTCCCTAGAGTTCCTTGATCTAAGTATGCGAAAATATTTCGCCCGCCCAAACCCTATTCTAATTACTAGGGCCCTATGTGCGTCAGGATTCCGTATGACCCAAAAAGTACGCATAGACAAGCACAAACCCCATACGTGACCATTGTGAAGGCCCTTATCCGATTGTCAATCGGAGGTTTGGACCCAGCAAGCCCAAACCCTTAGCCCTAAGCCCTAAACCCCAAACCCCTAAACCCTAAACCCTCAACTAAGCCCTCAACCCTAAACCCTAGAATGGAGACCAGAGCGGGCCACCCACGTCGAGAGAGCTGTGGTCTGCTTATGGTCTCCAAGCGAGCTCCGATTTGGGGGTGACCTGGTTAAACAAAGAAAGGAACTACCCAGAGGCTCCGTAGTTCCTTTGTGTGGTTTATATTTAGAATCCTATAAGGTAATCCCAAAAAGGAACTACTAAGGAGCCTACGGGTACACTGGAGGCCATAGGCAGGACTAGTATGCACATCCGTGACAAACGTGATCGGTTTATGTTAGGGATTACGTATGTTCTCGCAACATCCTGCCTCTTCCATCAACATAATAGGACATAGAAGCCTAAACGAGTACCGATATTATTCCTTTGGGTTCCTTGTTATAGTTACGGTATAATGTAGCCCAAAACCCCATTCTACTTGTTAAGACGCATATATATATATATATATGAATATATATGCATTATGCAGATGTTGGAGGCCCTGTTCTTACCTGCTTGCAGCCGACAGTTTTTTCTGCCGTGCTTGCCAGGTGAAGGTGTTCTCCGTGCATTCCAGCCCAGAGCTTGGCACAGTTGCACAGCGCCTCCGAGCTCGAAAAGCTCACCAGGACCCTCTTTGTACCCGTAAGTAGGGCTATATGGCCCCAAGTAGTAGGTAGTTTATGGTCTAAGTGAGGGTAGATGGAGGGCCTAGGCACAAGCTCCACATGATCAAGAGAACGATTCCGAGCAGACCGTGTAATACGAGAGAAGCGTCAGCACCCTGAACCCTAAACCCTAAAGCCTTAAACCGTGAAAGAAAAGAGGGTTCAGCAACAAATGAAAAATATACCCTAAACCGTAAAACCTTAATTATATCCCTGAGCCCTACAACAGCCCAACACTGTAAACGCCGTAAAAGCCTGACGCCAGGCCAAGACCCGCAAGCTCCTTGGAGCAACAAGCCCCAAGAGGACTACAAGGGCTTAGGGCTTGAGGTTAGGGCAGTTAGGGGTTCGGGTTTAGGGTTGAGGGTTTAGGAGTGAGGGTGTAGGCAGGCGATGAGGTGATTCGGGTAATCATCTCCTTTGGCTTAGCACAGTGGTCTGAACATGAATAGCGAGTAGTAGCGTCCCCGCATAGTCCATCTATCCATCTATCTTTCTTTCTTTTTATCTATGTACATTATACATATGTATATATGTATATACATACACAAAATTAAAGATGAATATAAAACAAAATAAATGCAGGAATGTAAGTATACATATACATATGCATTATACATATGCATACATGCATGTATGCATACATGCATACTCGAACGCTCTATTCTATCTATCTTTAGTCTGTAATAAGACAGTTCAGGAACTCTAACACGGAAGCCTAAGTAATAGGATCCTTACTCCAAGAATCCCGCAACATGTATTTTAGATTTCCGAAACTCCCCATGCGAGTATACTTTAGTTACGACCAGAAATCTATATCTTAAAGCGGGCATTCTGTATGCAGTTGTGACATCTTGTGTATTATTGAGTCACTCCTCGGGTGGTTGTAACCGTGAATCACCTGATCACTCTGCATCCCTCAACGTGAAAGCACGAATCATGCTTGCAAGGTCGGTGTACATAGTGTACGTAACTCGACTGCAAGCAATATGTATGTCATTTTGCACGCTGAGCCTGATTTCAAGGTGAAAGACGGGAAGCGCTCAACTGGAGGTGCAAATGACTAGTTGAATAAATTTGTGTCCAATCCAAAAAAAGTTGTACGCCCAACTCAGACCAGACAATCCCTGCACCTTTTTTCCCACAAGCCCAAAACCTATACCTACAAGCCACGATAGGAAACCCTCACAAAGCCTTTTTTCATACCCTTTTAAACCTTAAACCGTACTTAAACCACTAGTCCTATATCTCAAGCGGAGAGTCAGGAGATTTCGGGATCTGGCTGCGTCATCCTCCATGAAGGCAAAGAGCTTCTCGGATGTTTGTTGGGGGTTTCGGTTTCGGGTTCGTCGGCCTTGTAGGATTGTGGGATTTAGGGTTTGGGGGTTTGGGTTTAGGGTTTGTACCGGTTGCAGGGTTCGTGGTGTTTACAGGGCCTGTAGGGTGTCGGGGTGGGCTTAATGGGGCTCATAGGGCTCGTAGGGTTTAGGGTTTGGGCTTTGGGTTTAAAGGTTTTCGGGCTTTGTTTTCAAGGGCTTGAGGGTGGAAATGGGTTTTGGGTATAGTTTTGATCGCGTTCTGGGGTTGTAGCATTTTAGCTTCAAGGCTTAGGGCTTTGGACGTACAAGGGTTCTGGAGCGTCTGATCATCTGATCACCTTGCAGAAATGGTTTGCCCTCAGGAAGATGCCACGCTCCCACTTCAACCAACCCTTTGAAGGGATCACCTGTCAATATGAGGTGATATCTCCCTATCATGGTCCGCAGATGGTTGCATGCTTGAACCTAGACTTTGAGATCGTTATTGCTGAGAATGAGGAGTGAGGGGCCTCAGAACAGCGGGAGACAGGTCGCAGTCCGATCTCGAGCAAAGCAGCTCCTTAGGCAAGTGTGCTGGTCTTCATTGTCATGATTACATGAATCCCGAAATTAGTGCTAATGCCAGTATCGATATTACTAGTCTTCAGCCCCGGCCTCACCAAACTCCAAAAAATCGATCGTGCAAGGCACTCCATCGCATGGGTTCTACGGTTCGGAGCTTCTTCCCTCGTCAATACCGCGAGACATTGCAAATGAGGTGCATCATCACGAATGCGCATGTGGTCGCCGATGCAACCTACGTCGAGGTCGGTTGTGGGCTTCCCCAAAGGGTCCTAAGTTCTGCATAGTAGAAAGGAGGTCTTCTATAGTGTAAATACCAACTACTTTGGTTTGGGTAGGTACCTAGCCCCTCCGTCTACCCTATTCAAGGGTAAGCATCCCCCATATAAGAATCTTTGACCCTTTGGTCTTTAGCCAGTGCCAAGACTGAATCAGGGGTGCAGATGCTCGCAGCCAGCACTACTCCTAGAAGAGCCTTGCCAGCAACGCCGTCAGACTATATGTTGGGTCTAGCTTAAATGGCACGGGACATCATGAGACCTTGTGGACTGCAGCTTAGTGGTGCTTGCTGGTTGTTCTGTCTTGTCTAGCGATGTCAGCCAGGCTATGCTGTGTTTAAATTGGATCTCCAAACACCAAGCGCCAACCGAGAATCTCGCAGCAGGACGTCCCGAAAATTTCCACCTAAATCCCTCCTCCACCGATCATGAAAAGTCTCAGGGTTTTGTGTTGAGGAAAGGCTACGTGATTGGTCTTTGACATGATGAAACCACGACCCCTGGCTTGGGTCCCACCGCCAGGTTCGGAAGGCCGGCGATGCAATGAAGTACCCAGCGCTTTGGCTCTTAGGATCCGGTAGGGCAACTTGTCCGACTGCCGCCTTTGTGGATATAAGCCCTAAACTCACCCTGAAACCCTAAGTGACTGTCCTGGCCGCACGTGCCTTTCGGGACCTTCGGGCTTCGGAATAAGGAGCTTACCAAACAAAGTTCAAACAAAGCCCTAAGTGTTCATGGCGCAGCCTTGAAGATTCCGGGAGGACCCTTTCAACACATTGGAAAACCTCCTCTTCCTGCTGTCCCCGGCGCTACTGCTGGTAGCCGTAATCATCCCTAAACCCCGAAACCATAAATCATAAACCCTAAGGCGTGGTCGTAGTCGCACTCACGAGCAGAAGCAGTAGCAGTAGCAGAAATGGTCCTAAACTGGCCTAAGGGTTGCAGTTACTGGCCGTGACTGCTAAACACTAGCAATCAAGATAAAGATAAACACACTGATAATACTAACAGCAAAAACAATTTCAGGACTAACAATAATCGAAATAACTACAACAATTACTTGTAATATAGATTGTACTGTTAAGGGTTTAGGGTTGTACTATACTTTAGTATGTTGTAGTATCTCATATTAGAGTACTCTAGGGTGGGAATGCATGCAGCCCCAGGCACTGCGCGTGAAGACGTCGCACGAGTGCGACTTGGCTTTGCTGCGTCAGTGGCCCAGGGGAGAACAGCGAAGGAAGATCCGTCTATGCAACCTTTTCTTCACAAACTCGCATCACTTTAAATGTTTCTGTAACACTTGTTGGGGTCGTACCCGTCATACATATGTGTTAGGCATGTAAGTCCTTTGGCAACCTGTGTTGTTTGCGCTCGTTCTGTTAGTTCTGCTGTCCGTGTTTGTTGTTGGTTGTTTTTGGTTTTGCTGTGCGTGTGTGCCCAGCCTTGCATCATTTAGTGATACTGAGGCCTTCGCATGGATCTGCACTAGCAGGGAATACACACAATTACACACATGTACACATGCATGTATGCATGCATGTGTATTTGTCTGCATGTAGTTGTGTTACGGTATAGGCATGTGCATGATTGACTAAATATAGTACATACCGACCTGTATATTGCTGTATATATCTATGCATCTGAACTCCCGTCCAATTGACCCATGTTTGGCGTGCTTCGGTACACTGACACCTGCCTTTCACGCACTGCTTGGTGTGTGTTCTGCCGTACTATTTCTCGAACTTTCCGTGCCATCTGGAATCGTCTATTCCTGAAAATCCCTGCTTCTGCCCCAGCAAGGTCCCGTTCAACTCAAAAGCTTTGTGCAATCGAAGACTTCCGGTGTAATGATAATGCAATGCCAGGATGACCCGTCCGCATGTGTCTGGGTATTTGGTTGGTATATTCTAGTATATTATTGTACATTAAAGTATATTGTAATCTATGTATATGTCTACGCGTGGAAAATACAGCGGCCGCCTGCTGCGATGCCTGAAGCTAGCCAAAGCCACAGTCACAGGCTACTGTAATTTCCATTTAGATGTGCATGCATATGTATCAATATCAACATCTGTGTGCACATTACACACATACACATACATTTATACACCTGCACAGACAAACACGCTTTCAGCAATCGTGCAAGCGCCCGAGGATGTGCAATTTTGGTTCCGATGGGCTTCCGAATCCCTCTTCCGTATGGTTCATAGTCGTCAAGTTCCCGTCCTTCAAAACCATCAGATTTTTGCAGCTCTGTCTTTGCAGTGTTTACCTGACATGCTGACGTTTTGGCTCTAGCCCTAATAGCGGGAGCTCAGATTGGTGGTTGCGCCCAGTGCACCATGATTTTGGAGCTTTGCTTGGCCGCTGCTGGTGTCTGCACGTTGCAGATGGCATGGAATTTCTTTTCCAGGGCGAAGATGTCGCTGCCCCAACATGTTGGTTGCATGTTGAGCGTCTTTTCAAGCACAAACATATGTGGATGATCTGCCTCAGCCGACAACCTACTAAATGCTTGCATGGACATATGTTACTGCGGAGTTCCATGCTTGGCAGAGCTATGCCTACTCCAGTTGTTCTATCAGTACCATTTTGTTACCATGCCTTACCCCTGAGCAGATGAAAAGTTCATGGTCTTGTCTCCGAGGCCACGAAATCGTCGTCGCAAAATTAGTCCGTTGAAGCCCTCCAGCCCTTGGAGCCCTCCCGCGCTTCAGCAGAGAATGTTGAAGCAAGCCCTCTAAGCCCAAAGCCCTACACCTAAACTCCATGCTATAGTATGTTATTAGAATATATCATAGTATATCACTCTAGGGTTTAGGGTTTAGGGTTCTTAACCCAAAAACCCCCCCAAATCCGACCCCAGGTCGGTTGAGGGCAAGCACGTGCTCATCACAGGGGGCTCCCAAGGGCTTGGGCTTCTCGGCAATGTCTTGGGGTTTAGGGTTTAGGGTATACTTTGAGAGATGCATGTTTGTGTTTATAGATAGGTATGTGTATATATATATAATATATATATATATATATATATATAGATTTGTTTGTTTTCCCAGTTATTTATGTATGTCTATGTATATCTGTGCATACATACATACATACATACATATACATAAATGTATGCACCAATGGGGTTTCACACACACATACATATTACCTGCACGTACATGTGTCTTTGTCCACCTAAACTTTTGACGCCCAAGCTTTTGCTAGCTACCTGTTTCGCACGTCGTGCCCTCCATTACTTGGAACTTCCATACTGATATCTGAAATCCGGCTTTGCTCCCAGATTTCCAAACTTATCATGCGGATCTTTGTTCGTGAAACCACAGGATACTCGGCACATTCCGCTCACGTGTTGTTTCTCTCCGGTACGTCCTACACTCGCACCTCAGTCCTGCACAGTATTGCTCTCATCCTCCGAAGGCCTTATAATGTTCTGACTAAGTTATGGACTTCTGCCTATATGCTCATCCAGCAACACCGCGAGACCCGATACTTTATCTTGAAGCAACATCTAACGAAGAGAAGACGAGACAGCGCCCTTCTGTGCAGAGCAGGAACCTTAAACCTTTTCGGTTACTACAATCCCTCTATAAGGTTGACCTTTGGTTCCCCTAGGATACTGGACGGGAAATTAAATCCCTAAGCTCTCGTAAATCCTAGAGACATTTTGCAGAATGTGAGTTCCAGCATTCTCAGGCTTGCCTTTGCCAAGCTTTGCTTCGCACGGGGCGCCAGGGTGACAATCGTTGCGCGGACGAAAGCCAAGCTTGAGCACTTGGGAATCAAGATTTTGTTCCAAAATCTCGAACGAACTATAGAAGCTTGAACAACGACCAATAGTAGCTATTCCTGAGGCTTTCTCCTCATAATTAGTGTAATTATAGTTACCCCCAGGCTTTTTCTGATTTTGCAGGCCCCTATGTTACGCCTAGAGAGCTGGCAGTAACGGCGTTCTGTTCGGCACTTTGGGTCTTGGGATCTCTTCAGAGAAGAATGAGGCATTACTGTGGACCAACCTGCCAACCTCCCCTTGACCACGATTTGGGTTGTGACAACGACATAGGGGCAGTACTCCTTTAAAGAGTGAGCATTCTCAAAAACTTGTGCACGCACACACAGCTGCAGCACACACACACACAGACACGCACGCGCGCACTTGCAGTAGTACAGCAGACAGGTTCCAAACATTCAGGCCCGGTCCAAAGCCATATGCCCCCAAAGCCCTAAACCTCAACCCGATCAGTCCCCTCTCCCCCCCTCCACTCCGACCACACCAGCTCCGGTTCTTCTAGCAAAGGCAAGCGTGCGAGGAGGTTCGGATCCAAGGAGCTGCTACAGGACGGGCAGTACTTAAAGGCTCGTGGGCTTAGTCGATTGTTGGGTTCTTAGTAGTCAGAAGTGTAGTTACTCTATTGATATAACCCTATGGTACTAGACTAAGTCCCGTTGTCGCTTCAGTACGGTGTAATTATAAGGTAGTAGTATGGCAGCATTTCGGTTTCTCGTGAAGGTTCCGGTTTAGGGCTTGAAGGGTTGTCTATGTCGTTTAAGTGCATCCCGAAGCCCAAAGCATGGCTCTGGTCGACTCCAGCCCGCATGTTCTCGAGGATTTTTGAGGAGTCGATGCGTACTATAAGGGGGTTGAGTGATTAGTGTAACAATACTTGTACTTGCTTGTGGCCCGAATATGGGTATATCCCCCAATCCATTATCCAGGCTCCTAGATAACCCTGCCGGGTCCATAGACCTCCATGCTGACAGGTGCCAGGATACATGAGTTACATGAGAGTTTCTCTAAATTTCAAGCTGTGCGGCCTTAGCAGAGACATCTCTCGTCCTTCTGCCCTTCGCCGCCAGCCCAGTGTGCATGCACATCGCCCTGGCAAGGAGCAAAGATTCAATACTTGGAGATGGACGTCTCCAGTATGAAGTGTACAGGGCCCAGCGATGGATTCAGGATGCTTCGTCAAATCTGCGCATCAAAATGAACCAGTGCTGTCAAAAGAGCCAACAAAAGAGCCAACAGGGTCTTGCACTGCCGCGGTCCTCTGCAACACTGCGTCAAAATCCTTGGCTACGTCCTAATCACTAAAAGCTCCCCAGAACCGGCACACTCTTGGCCGAGGCAGCACCTTCTCCGAGCTCATGGGCCGTGCTGCAGAAAGCTTCGGGCGTGTGGATGTGGTGGTGGCCAATGCTGGGACAGGCCGGTGCTGCCGAAATTGGATGTGTTGGCTTTGGGGTCCACCGATGCAGGTTGTGATGTCCGGCCGTGGGGACACAGTGCTATCTAGGGCTTGCGATACTTGCAACATCCGAGGTCTTGAGCTTCGCCACCATTTTGAAACTGTAGTTTCAGTTTTAAACATTAATTGATTATTCGGGATCTGCGGGTTCAGGGTAAGTGGTTTGTGGCTTGGAGAAACTTGCCGTACTCAGGAGAACTGTGAATTGAATGCAGGACTCTGATTGAGACAGGTGGTGCTTTTCGCACCTGAGATTCATCTCCCTTTCTTTCTGAAGCCGAACGTGCCGCTTACCACTCCGCTTACCCCGAAAAGCACTGAGCCGATGATCGTCGATAGCAACACCTCTCCAGGCCAACCCCAGTCCTAGCTGAAGCTCTGTCGCTCGTCGCAGGGCAGAGAAAGCCAAGTGCCTCCCAAACTATGCAGCAGCAATCCTGAACCCAGGACACCAGAACCCGAAACGCCACCAGCCGCAGGTGTTGCGAAGTTGCTTGTTGGGTCGGAACTGACCCAACTTGACGAGTTGATGGAGGCTTTTGGACCTGACCTCGTAAGCCTTCGAAGATTGAAAGGGCCAATATAGGCGCTTTAGTAATGACCTATATTACCTCGCGGGCTCCGTATTGTGATTATAGTGGAATGTCCGCCAAAACCCTATTCAAGTATTTAAGGCCCCTACGTTAGTCAGCTGGCTGGGTGCCGGAAGGGGTTGGCTATGGTGGCTGGTGTTCGAAGGGCCTCTAGCTGTCGCCGGACCCTATCGGCCCAGGGCATTCAGGCTCGAATCGAGGTACAGACGACAACCCTCCCGCATCCGCCCTGCAAGGCACAGATCTCGACAAATCTCATGGGCAGCCTGAGATGCGTGCCGCGACAGGGGTTTAGTGTTTAGAGTTCCCGGAGGAGCCCAAGAATTGAACGCTGCCCTAAATACAGTTTGCTTTAACACATCCTGTGTGAAAGCTTCAGGCTTTTGAGTTCCTCGAAAGTGCAAGCTCCTAGATTACCGAATGCTTATAACCCGTCCTGTATCTTTAAATCTGTACTTCTGGAGGTGCTGTTACTGATTGTCAGGTCTAGAGGGTTTGCACAGAGTCTTAGGGCCTCTGTTTGAGTTACATAGGGGTTTCGGGGTTCTTCAACATCGTGGCTGCTCAGGCTATTGCTGCGGGGCAGGTGATGGCCAGCGATGGCCAAGGCAATGACGGATGACGGACAAGGATGGTAGGCAAGCCCTCTTAGAGCGGAAATGACCCGACGGAGGTGTTGTATCTTCCAGCTCATTAGCTCACAAGTGGTTGTTACGGACATGGTTGTGATCCCGTCATCATTAACATCATGATCGTTACTCTGATTTCTGCTTACACCCTGGAGATGCAGGTTCAAGGTCGTGTAGCCTAAGCCACAGCCCCACAGCCGTGAGATGACACGGCTTTGGTTGAAGGTGGTCGAATTTGCATCGTGTCCTCGGCGGCTGGCTTGATCTCCTTGCCAGGTTGCCGTATCCGCAACTGATTTAAACGTATTAGTAGGCATTCGATACATCAATCCGGTCATGCTGCCGATGCCATTTCTGAGTTAGACGTTTCTTGATGCAACTTCGAGCTTCTCGCTGCCGCGCCGCTGAAGGAGAACTATTCCCCATGATCGCCGGCTCGGAGCCCCTAAACCCTAAACCGTAGGTAGAGCCAGTGACTTCAGTCCCTCCTCACTGAGGCTACTCCATCTACTCTGCCACCAAGTTTGGGCACCGAGGTGGGGCCCTAGGCGGCAAGCCCAAGCCGCAAGACTGCCCACACTCTATTGCAACTTCTTTCGTATCCCCTTCCTCGACGACCCGCACGGCCGCGGCCGCAATTAATTGTTCCAATAAAGAAGCCCAAACATTCATTAATGTTATTGCGCCTTGTAAGCTTGTAATCATCATAGCCTGTAGAACTGTATATTTATAATATAGTAGTATGCCCCCCTCCTGAACCAGCTAGAACTCGCGCGTTCTTGATCACAGCGTGGCATGGAGTGGGAGGCAAAGCCCGTAATTCGAAGCTCCATTTTTGATCCCTTTGTTTTTGGGATTAGGGTATAGGATTTTAATCCGTCTGTTTCTGGTTCCTCAAATGCCTCATTAGGCTATGACAGAAGTCCTCACCGCCCGGCCTCACTCATCGCATCGCATGCCGTTGAAGACGAAGCAAGACTGCATCCGCGATGGCCCATGACTCCGTACCCACATTTTTATCGAACGAACATCGCACCTGGGCGGCTGACAATTCGCTCCAGCTTGATTGAATCATCCCCATGCCGAGCCACCACATACTCCGGCGAGCAAAACCAAGGTTTTGAGCAGCCAGAGCGCAGAGTCCGACATGCAGCTTGCAACAACCCAGCATCGAAGTATTAGGACGATGGCGAACATAGTTGCATGAATTGCCGATGCTAAAGCCCTGGAATTCATGGTAACCTTAGTGTCGCTGACTTTCAACATAAGAAGTGCACAAGCAATCACAAGAGGCGAGTCGCTCTGTTGTGACACAGCAAGCCATTCTCTGTAGCCTAAAGCGGCACCCGCTGATGCATGATGGCAGCCGGAGGAATGCAAAAGCTGTTCCATGGTGCTCCAAATTACGACTACAGTATAACATGCCCCAAAATCCTGCCGGCATCGTTAAGACTCGTATATAGGGTCGGAGTCAGCATGTGGCAGGCTTCCTAGCGGGTGCCTACCACGAGCTGCGCCGACATGGTGTCCATCTCTCAGTCTACTATCCAGGTAGCCCCTTGTCGAAATTCAGACAGCTGGGTCCATCGTGGGGCTTTGCCACGCTCTGGTGTTTGTTTTCTTGGGAGGCTTTTTGACAGCCCTAACCCTTACCTGGACCCTATAAGACCTACCTTTCCGGGGTGCCTGAATGTGAGTTGGGGTTAAGGTAAGCCCTAAACCCTTTCAGCGTTCGTTCTAGCCTTCGGACATCTTGACTTCCTGTGGGGCTGGGGGCCAGACCTGTCTTTGCAAAGCTCTACAATATAGAAGCCTCAGAGCCCAAAACCCTATTCTAATTATTAAGGTCCCGGGGTCCCTACATTAGTTATACTATCGTTTGTTTAGGGTTTAGAGTTTAGGGATAGTTCTCCGGATAAGCATTGGAGACGAAGCAAGAGCTCCAGAGTAACCTTGTTGTTCAGAGTTTGGAACTGTTGGAAGGCTCAAGGTGGTGTCGCTGCTGCTTTAGGGAATAGGGTTTAGGGTTCAATGTGCTGTCCTCTCAGCAACAGACGTGCGCAATGGGTAGCTGAGCCATTGTTCGTGGGCCTTGTGATTTCCAGGATAGTTCAGCGGTTGCTCTCGCAAATTGTTCTTGCCAGGTATCAACACTCCAGGCTTTCAAGAGGAAAAGCGACAGATGCCGCCGGTCACCTTGAGGACAGGGTTTTCATACCTCGCGTTGCGCAAGCGGCACCTCCTGTCACCAAGCAGGCAGATGCCGGCGCTCACTCGAGTTACTTGGTAGTGATGCTGGCTTCATGTGTCATAATTGCCTGCACGTGCTGTTCCGAGAGCCTGGCACCATCAATCTCGGAGAGTGTCCTTGGTAGCTGTGCAGACCCATGTTGCCCTTGCAAGCAACCTGATCATACTTTGGCATTCATTGCGGCCTTGCATCAAGAAGACAGCGCATGTGCAAAGCCCTGAGCCCCTGAGCCCCACCTTTGAAGAATCCGAAACCTCAGATCCACACGGTTTGATGCAGTACGACTGTTTGCTTGAACAGCACCATTGCCATGTTCATGGCACGCGCCAGCCGGCATGATCGAAAAGCACCGTTGTGAATCATGACGGTTAATCTCAGCGTCTCTATCTCTCTCTCGCTCTTTCCGCGCTCACACGCACACACCCGTATGTATGTATGTATGTATGTATGTATGTATGTATGTATGTATGTTCGTACGTACGTACGTACGTACGTACGTACGTACGTACGTATGTAGGTATGTATATGTATATGTACATGTGTATAAATAAA